ATGGAAGTGGAATGTTAAATTGTTTGTTTTAGTCAAGTGCGGAAGTTACCTGAGTAAAGTCATTGTCATATGGTGTTAGTTCACATTTCACAGGCCATAAAGAGAGAGAGAGAGAGAGAGAGGGGGGCGGGGGGTGGAGAAGAAAGAAAAGAAAGAAGAAAGAAGAAAGAAGAGAGATAGAAACAGCCCCTCACCAATAGTCCCCACAAGAGCATTTTCCATCCTTAAAATTGTGGAATCTGTGAGCATCTCTGACAATGATTTCCTTTCCTATAACCTTAGAAATGAACTTGGTAGCAGTATGACAATCCCCGCACACTCTCAGATTCTTTGTTATTCTTATCATACTTTCTTCTTTCAATTTCATGAGCCCATAAACGATGGCAAGCTTCTCCCCGTGTGAATACAACATTTTCTCCTTTGTCTCTTCTTCAACATCATGCAACACGAAGCTTAAATCTGGAGTATACCCTTCTCCTTTAATCCTGTCCATCAGTTTTTCCAACTCTGAATATATCACATCTGTTTCTGGGTGTGATCTGTCCCCTGCTACAAATGTATGGATCTGGTCCTTGATCTCAATAATTGTGTGCCCAACAACTTTTCTGACTCCCCTTCTTTTCATTAGATCTCTGATACCATCTACTTCCTTTCTTCTACCATATGAAGCATAAATATTAGAAAGGATAACATATCTGCCAGGGTTTTCTACATCCAAGTGAAATAATGATTCTGCTGCAGTTTCAGCCAATTCGGCATTTAAATGAATTCTACAAGCTCCAAGAAGTGCTCCCCAGACCCCTGCATCTGGCCTAACTGGCATCCTTGCAATGAATTCTTGAGCTTCATTCAGTCGCCCAGATCTGCCTAACAGATCAACCATACATGCATAGTGCTCTGATCTTGGTTTGATTCCAAAATCTCTAGACATTGAATTAAAGCACTCCCATCCTTCAGCAATTAAGCCAGCATGACTACATGCTGACAGCACTGATACAAATGTGACATGGTCTGGCTTACTTGAATCCTTCATCTGATCAAAGAGATGGAGTGCTTCTCTACCATGGCCATGCATCCCATACCCAGAAATAATCGTGCTCCATGAAACCACATTTTTTTCATTCATTCCATCAAAAACTTTCCTAGCACATGCTAAACTACCACACTTGACATAAAGGTCAACTACAGCAGCATCCATCATTGGACCCTTGCTGAAGCTACGAATTGTAATTCCATGAACTATTCGTGCTTGTCGAAAAGATGCTAAAATTGAAGAAGCTTGAATTACACCAAGGAGCATTACAGAATCAGGGAGCACACCCTGTAACTTCACTTGCTTAAAGAGGCCCAAAGCTTCCAGAGGCATATCAGCTTGAATATAGGCCTTGATCATTGAGGTCCAAGACACCAAATCCTTCATCACCATCCCATCAAAAATCCCCTTAGCTATGTCAATGTTTCCACACCTTGCATACATTAGCATGGCTGCATTTTGGATGAACTGATCCAAATGAAGGTTATTAGCCATGAGCACCCTGAAAATATCATCAGCAACATTCTTCCTCTGAATGCACTCCATCACATTCAAAATGGCACCCCTGTTTGGTTGTTTGCCCTCATCCAACATCCTATAAAACAACAATACCCCTTCGTGAAACAAATTGCCTTGTGCACATGCTCCAATCATCGTACTCCACGAGACCACATTTTTTTGAGGCATTCTGTTGAACAATCGTCTTGAAACATCAAAGAAACCACATCTAGCATACATGGCAATTAGTGAGTTAGCAACAAACACATCAGATTGATAACCATAGATAATTACATCTCGATGGACCTTTAAACCAAACTTGATATTGTTGAGACAGCCACAAGCCTTGAGAATGGAAGGGAAGGTGAAGTTATCAGGAGAAAAGCCCAGGTTTCGCATATGGGTATATAATTGCAACGATTGATCATATTGTGCTTTGTCAATGAAGCGATGGAGCATGGTGTTCAAGAAGAAGAGATGCTCGTGTTTGCTTGTACAAGGCATAGCCAATCAAATGGAAGCAATGCCCAAGTATATGTAGACAATCAAATGGAAGAAGAGCTCAAGTATATATGGACTGCCAAACAAGTCCAATATTTGTTACCAAGAGCCTTGTAAGTTGTAACCAACTTGGAGTAAGAATTAGTCCACAGTACTATTTATCTTTTTTGGATTAACATCAGCCCACTAATACACCTGTGCAAAAGTATATTAAAAATAGATATGAAGCTTTTACAAAAGATGGAAGTCATGCCAAGTTAAGCTACCATATTAATATGAAGAAATACATCTTGATTATTGAATAGAGTGAAGCTAAAGATATGAATAGAGAGTTGAACATAACATTTTCACATAACAACAATAACTTTCTACATGTTCCATGACCCTCAGGTTGATACAACAATCGAGTAAATAGTGGAATGAAAAGCTTAAATGAACAATAGTATGCAAGAAAAGTAGGAGCTTTACCTTAAGGAAAATGGAAACCTGCCAGAGTTACCATTCTGATGAAGGGGTGTGGATCCAAATGGTAAACACAACAACAAAAGAAATTGCGTTTCACTGTAAAACAAACAAAATGGGTAAAAAAGAATGAACCAAAGAGGGGGAAAAAAATGAAGTTGAAGGGTCATGTTTGGATTCCAAAATAAGAGATACTAAAGAAAATACACCAAAATCGAATTGCAACTCCCAAACATCTACTCAAAATGTAGCACCCCAAATCAGGAAGCGGAATAGACACTGAACACATATGCAAGGCTCTGACTAACCTAGGGTATAAATCCAAAACTTAATTCCAAAGACCTCCAACAACAATATTAAATCAATAATCTCAAATCTCCAAAAATTTAAATCAATACAGTTAAACCAATTTCTTAAACTCTATCAAGTTCTCAGAAATGTCAAATAACTCCTCAAATAATCAAACTAAAGTAGTAACCAATTATGCTCAAATATTCCAAACTAAATCAGCTAGGTAGCTGGGCATCTTCAACATCACTCCCTACTCCCCATGTACCCATCAGCATCTCTAGCATTGGTACCTGAAATGGTGGGGGAGATTTTTAATCATAAGTAACAGTACAATATTCTCTTAGTCAGGTTAAGCATGCCAAAACAAAATCATTTAAGCCAAAAAATATGCTTAAGCAAGAATGCCAGATAATATTTAAACAAAACTTATTTTCTCAAAGCAGAATTTCATTTAATCATGTACAGAAATAAAATTTGGATCAGAGCAAATGAAGAAATTTTATACAAAACCAAGCAAGAAAGTCTCCTCAATAAGTTATGGCTACTATTACTCCGGTAGCAACAGTCCAAAAAGTTATTACCATCATTCTGACATCACAGTCCCAAAAATTTTCCACTATTTAACGCCAGCAGCTCAGCCCCAGAACAAAGGCCGTTACTCATCACCGACAGCAACCAGTATCAAAAATAGTTTCTATAAAATAGAAGCACGTCAATGTGACTAATGTATTACTCCACATTAGCATAAGCGAGACAAAACAGATTTTTAAGGTTTAACAAAAAATATCAAATCATTATTTATGAGTCTGGAAAAGATGAGGTCTTGCACCCCTTTTATTTCATGTGGCTATATCAAAAATCAAACGAGCAGAATTTTCATAACTTTCCCAAAAGAATAAGCCCAAGACATTATTCAAACCAGCCTGGATTATTTTCCTAATTAGAAAGGATTGTCATTCAATCAAGAAGCATGTGGATTTTCACTCAAAATTTGAAACCTTTGATATTATATTTTTTATAACAAGAGAAAAATGAGGGCTGGAACAAGAAGACAGGGAAAGTAAAACATGAGAGATGAGACCTTCATGAACTAACACAGTACAAAAAAAAATTTCCTTTCTCAAACCATGCCAATCATATTATTAATAATTGGCTCCAGCAAATAAGACTCATAACCAATAAGCATGCAAAACCCAAAAGTTCAAAACAGGATTTCATAAAGTTAACTTTCAAAACAAAAAATATATAAATTAATCATTTCAATAAATACCCCAAGGGGAAATGTAAGTTACTTACGTTGAAGATTGAGTTAGGTGTTTAAGAGAGAATGCCTAAAATGAGTTTCACAGAGAACTTAATCAAAATGACAAAACTTCCTATTATGAACAAGATCAATATAACTTTCTGATACTGATTCTAAACTCAAAAACTTAGTAATCAAATCATCTTCTTTGATTCCACTTAAACCACCAATTTACCTCACAATTACTATCTCCGGTATACCAAAGTCCTAGCTCAAACTCACCTCAAAAACACAAATAATTGAAGCAAAAGAATTAAATAAGGGCAGAAAACTGATCAAAACAGTGGCAGAATGAGCTAAACAGGGCAGAGAATTCAATGAAAAATCTGCAGCAACGCATGTGATCCATAACCAGAACTTTAGAACAGCAAAACACTGGCTAAAACCTCAGAAAACAGCAAGCTAATATACCAGAAAAAAAATGCATATTTCACCAGATTTTCAGAGCAGAAACAGACTGAAAAAGATAAGAAAAACAGCAGCAAAATCACCAGAAAAATTGCAGCGAACATGCAGCAGAGCAGCACTTTTTCTTGGGCAGCACTGCCCTAAATTATGGAAAAACCCGAGCCTATTCAGTGATTACTAACCCAGGAACAATAGAATAAGTAAGAAAAGGGCAATATTTATGGTGCAATGACATACCCAGAAACCAATCAAAATAGCAGCAATTCACCAAATTCCAGGGCAGACAAGCAGTGCACAAAACGGACTGATAAAACAGAACAGAACCGACCAAAACGGCAGAAGATGAACTGAAAGTTACAGAAATTTTCAGCCAACGAAATCAGCAACAGATATGCAAGCTAGGGACAAAAACACAGCAGAAACGGAGGGAAATTACATATACCAGGGAGAGCATTGATGCTATTACCTACAAGAAGATTGCAGAGAAACTCGTCAAGCACAGCAGCCCAAGAGGACGCAATAAAACCAGGAATCCAAGGTGAAAACGGGCTAGAGAACAGACCGCTTAATTGGCTGCCATGAAAACCAGTAAATAGCAGAAATAGAACGTCATGTAAAGGCTAGAAATTTAACTGAATTCATGAAGAATTCAAGCAAAAAGATAAGGAAAAAAACGATGGTTTCAGTTATTGGAGGAGATGCGTTCTATGAAGAACAGAGAATGAGAAGAAACGGCGCTATGGTAGCTAAAACAAATGGAATCTGGCTTTTAATAATTCTTGAAAATCTGGTCCCCCATAAATAATACCTAATTCAATTGAATCCTTAAAAAATTTATTGATTCAATTAAGCTCACAAGAGTGACATTTACAATTAAGCTCCCAAGACTTTTCCATTAATTCCAAATGGGTCCTATTGATAATTAATAAAGCTCTAAAAAATTTACGTGTATTACACCAACCATCCTATATAGTTGTTTAGTAAAGAGGTTTGAAGTTAGTTGTTAGCGATTTGTAAAAATTAAACGAAAAATAATATTTAAATTAAAAATAGATAAATATGTTGGGTTTAGAGGAGTAAAAACAAAGCAAAAATTTAAAATTTTCTTTATTCAACTCACCTAGGACCCTTATATATTTATCAACACTTACTATATGTTTGAGTTGAGGAGAATGAGTGTTGATTGTAGCACCTAGTGTTTAAAAATGGGACAATTCCCCCCTTTGTGCTTGATTCCCCCTTTGCGCTTGATTCAATAATCCTTAAGTCAAAATATGAAATACTCACTATAATCTAAAACCAAAACGTTAGATTTGAGACGAAGCTTTAGTAGCAAAAGGATAAAAAAATCTGAAGATTTTAAGATGTGTTCTAGTACTATAACCTATAAAAGTAGACAAGAATCATAAGAAATTATCAGTATTGAGCATGTTTACTTTTAATATTTCACCATTAAACAAAATGAAAGAGGATGATGGCTTGAGCTAGGAAAAGGTGACTACTATTACGTGAGAGATCTAATTTTTGGAAGGGAATAGGATTGAGCGGCAAACATGAAGTCTGCCACTCATTGATAAAAATAATAAAAAGGAAGACAATTGAAGGGAACCTCAATTAAATCTCAATGTTAAATCCCTGGTTTAATTAAAATTTGAAAATCATAAATCCCCATCAAGAACAATTTACCCTAGCTATTAATTATTAAGTTTTGCACATTTAATTATATTAATTTTGAGAATCCAAAAAATATTTGGGTTGTTATACTCTGGTTATTCTTTACACTATAGAGAATTAGATATGGCTATTGTCTGATGGAGGAAGAATAAATATTTGGCAAAAGGTGTAGATTCCCCCCAAAATTATTGTATTGAAACAAATTGCCACCCAAAAAAATGTTAATGTAATTTGTCACCCCAAATTTTCATTTTTAAGAAATCAGTCCAAATTTAATGGTTACCATTAAGTCCTTTTCATTAGACTTTAAGAGCAAAAGTTTAATGGAGTTTAATAACAATAGTTAAATTTGAGCCGATTTCTTGAAAATGAAAATTTAGAGTGGCAAATTGCTTCAACATTGTTTTAGGTGGCAATTTACTTCAATTCAAAAATATTAGGGGGCAATTTGTACAGTTAGCCTTAATATTTTCCCTCTTTGTTTATCATGTTATGCTTTTCTTTTGGGAAACTTGAGTTGATTCAAACTTCATTAAGATCATATTTTATTCTGCTGTTAAAGGCTAAGTTGATTCAGTTACCAATTTATACCACTTCGTAGTTATAATTTATAAATGGAATGCAATATTCCAATATAAGAGTTTCTCTATGTTTTTTTTTTTCTTTTTTTTTTTTTCAATCAGCAGTAGAAAGGACTACTTTGATTCGAAGCACATAATGTGCCATGTAGGCATTTATTTAACTTGTAGACAGATAAAAATGGAGTTGAAAAAAAATAAGTTTGATAGATCATTCCACAACTAAAAATGTTTATTGACCAAAATGAATGAAAATCTAAAGCGACTTAACCATTTTGTGTATTTAACCTACAAACGTTGTTGAGAATTTAGTTTACATGGTTATCTTATTTGAGAAAATTAGAGTTGAATTCAGTTGAGAATTGTGTGAAAGTAACCTTATTTTATACTTTTGCCTTCACCTTTAGTGTTCCACTAAGCTCTTCCAGCAGGCGCTTAGTAGTCTTCCTCGATATAACCTTGTCAATCTCAAATGCCCTCATCTCTTTTCCTAGTCCTGCATAACCACCACATAGAACAAACATTAGGGTAAATTCTATGCTACAAAAGCCAAAATGTATATAGTCTACCAAGGGGATGTTTTTAACAATTAAAGGGTTAAGTTGAGATTTTTTATTCGAATTTTGATAAGAGAGGTGAAAAAAAGATACGAGCAATAAGACATTTATAGAACGTTACATAACTTATAAACACCTATACTGGAAAAAATAATCATGTATTTTGAAAAGAACTACAATATGGTAGGTAATAGTTGCATTTTAGCATATATTGAATATTGGCCAAAAACAAAACAAAAAAAGGGCTGAAATTGGGACTGATGGGTGTCGCAAACATCTGTTTGGCCATTTCCTTTATTTATTTATTTATTTATTTTTTGAGTATATTTGATGATGAATTATTTACTATAATATATTATTTTATGTTGTCTTCTCATTTTCTTTACATCTATGTCCACATAGTTGTCACACTTGCTAAATATGAGTGTTCGTATTTAGTTGTAACACTTTCTAGTTTTATATAAACATTAAATATTTTGTTTCAATCTTATCCCTCTTAATCCTTATTAAAATACTCTCAAAAGAAGGAGTTAAGATATAGATTTGTAATCTTAATTTGACATTTATGTTCAAAAAGTTAAAAAATAAAATTAAAACTATTAAATTTAAATGAAAGGAGAAATATATTTAGAATGTTAATGAAAAGGAAAGTGAAGAAATTATTGCTTCTACTCTTCAAAATCTCTTAGACATTTTATTTTTAAATTTTTTTTCTTAATTTTTCAGAGTTTTTTAAAATTTAAAATATATATATATATATATAACACAAATCACCAACTATCTCTCTTAACAGTGATTGAACGCAGTGGAAAAAAACGCTCTGACCTCTCTCTACCCATGTCCGTTTCCCACAATCCTCATTCATCGACTCAGGAGGGCGATCTCCTGAGTAGA